TTCTGAAAAACTCGTTTTCTAGAAAACCAGGTCTTCGAAGGGCTATGCGGAAGCCGCATGGTCGATAACCTATAACCCACTAGATTCTGAGCAAAAAGCGTTTAATCACTTCGTGGGGTTCCCTCGTGAGTTATTTTTTGAAAAAAGCTCACTCTCATACCGTCGAACAAATAAAATGTACACGATCACAGCAATATTCTCCACTCTTACTCTTCTATCGACACGAGGGTTCATTGCAAAGTTGGTTGAGAGAAGCTAAGACGCTGAGTAAAGTGAATACGACGGTTTTCTTATTGTATTGTTTAAACAAAATGACTGATCCCAGAGATGGACGAGTCCGAGTCAAAACTTGGACTCGAGTCTACTCGAGTCGCATTTTGTTCAAGACTCGGACTTCACTCGGACTCGAAAACTGAGCAACGTTGACTCGCCTGTGTGACTCGAGTCATTGATCCAAAAAGATTTTCATTTGCTCTTATAAAAGGTCTACAATTTATAAGATTAAATTATCACTTCTTAATAACTTTTATCGTAATAGAATATATTAGAACAGTTTTTTCAATAGCTTTTCTGCCTATGTATTCACATGGTCGTGAACAATAAACTGTGTATATTACTGAATATATGTTTTATCTCGTTCTGTTTTATTTCGGTTCATGTCCGAAGTGTCTACATATATATAAAAAGTGAACCCAGGTCCAATAGACACGGTCGTAAACGATCGTATACGGCCACGTACGACGATATATATCAGTATACGGCGGTCGTATTACGACGAAATATGGCGATTTACGGCTGCCGTATACGGCGAATTTCCTGTGATCTGTGTTCCTTGGAATCCCATCGCAAAATGTATTCTTATAAGTTTTCCGATATGAACTAGTGTTCTTTATGTGATCAAAATGGCATCAAAGTGTTCTTTTGATCAACTACCCAGGTCCAAAAAAAACGGTTAACGTCTAGTTAACGGCACAAAAAACGGCGCGTTAACGTTTTCCAAACAGCAAAAAAACGGCCAGTAAACAGGCCGTTAACAGCCAGTTGGTGGCCAATCTCTCGGCGGCACCTTACAATTTATTTCCACTTCAGTAAACTATGATTACTATACTATGTATGGAAGTTTGACGGAAGCTGTGGTAAGGTATTTTCATACATGGGAGCCCACGCGTGGAAGTTCATGGTATTTATTGTAAACATGAACAGCAAATTCACACTTTTGTTTACAAGCAATATGGTANTACAAGCAATATGGTATAACCAGAATGTGCTGGATTTATAATTCTACAGGTATGTCTGTTGAAATCTCAATCCTGGCAAACAATTATAATTGTATGTATGTGAGTGGTCAGTGATATTCAAGACGATACAATGCATGGGTGACGTCCTGAAGCTCTGTATAGATCTTCTGTAGAGGATGCTGGAAACGAAAAATAATTTTTTCTAAACTGACCGTTAACGGCCGTAAACGGTCGCGGCGCAGTTACAGCCGCCGTATTTACGGTGTAGTTACGACCGTTTACGGCCGTATTTGCACCGTATACGGCCGTTTACGATGCAAATACGACCGCAAACGGTGATTTACGGCGGTCGTATAGGACTGTATACGGTCGTTCACGGCAGTCGTAAAATTGGACCTGGGAAGTTATTCTCTAGAAAACGTTATTACTTTTATTGACTAATAGCTACATTATCTTAGGCTAAAACAATGTATTCGTTATATAAGGTTCATGATACCTTGAATATAGAAATATCCGAGCGTCTGAATCAACAACTAGGAACTGGATAATGTGTCATGAAACTTGTTGTAATATTTTTTTATCAAATTAAAAAGAAAACGAAATAATCGAAAAAATAATTTGACTCTACTCGACTCGAAAGTCTTTCAAAATGACTCGACTCGACTAGAAAAATGGCCTGTCTCGCCCATCCCTGACTGATCCAGATAAGTTAACATTGGATCAGATAAATCAAAAGGTCGGATTTAAAAGTACAAAAAAAACTGAATAGCTGGTTCGATTGAGAATTTTATCGCGCATCTAATAATATATAATTTTTGGTTTGAAACTAAGATCGTTTCTCAAAAAATAATTTTTTAAAAGGTTTGATCATTTACCGGCATAAAACGGAAAAAATATTTGAAGTCAGTAAGGAAGTTTATACCCGATATTGTAGAGTGAAAAACGCTCTATAAACTGGCGATAAAAGAATTAAATGAACATGATTATTGTTTGAAAACAAAATATTTTTCCAGGAAACTTTGAAACTTTCATTTTTCATATCCTTGACTAAAACCCCTAAAAATAGCATATCAAAGAAATACAGCACCACTTCCGAACTTTGTCAAATATTGTCTCATACTTACATACAATCTGAGTATTTCAGACTGGATGCATCAATAAGAAACAAATTCATCATTGAAAAAGCTTTCGATCTATTATTGATCGTTTTAGCCTTAACCCTTAAGAGCCGAATGTCCCTTCCAAGGAACATTTGAATAAATGCGGTACAAATCCTAAGAAGGCTTTTGAAACAGAAGTGGATATTTTTCTGAGCTGAGATGATCTTGGTGGTCATACTGACATCAAAATAAAACCTTCAAGTAGTTGCCAGACGAATCAATTGATTTTTTTACAGCTGATAATGATTTTGAAATAATTTTTCTTTTTTAGATTTTCATTTATTCAGAAATGGAACGTATAGTCTCGTTCTTTCTCTGTAGCATCTTTCGACACAGTGTCAAGCTATCTGATGGATGTATTTCATTATTTTTTTAACCGATCTAGTGACAGATTACGCCAGTGTAAAGGAAATGCTTCATGGATTATAGAAAAACAAAAACTAGCAATTTCAATCTGAAAGTTCGCTCAAACATAGCTTTACTCATATCTAGAGTATCCTGAAAATTTCAGCAACAACGATTGTTTCCTTCGCGACATACTGAATGTCGAAGAAAAGTCGGTTTTTAGCCATTTTTCCAAAATGTGACCGGTTTTCTTCGGTATCAAATATCTCGATGAAAAAACATCCGTTTTAAGTGAAAATTTCAGGACGTTTGAAGCATTATGAAATCTATCTAAGGGCAGATTCTCAACCAAAATTCTTATCTTTCGGATTTTTATGAGGGCTCCGATTTCTACAAAGGGACATGGGGTAGTCCTGGAAGAAGACCAAGATTGTTATTTTTTACTATAGTATGAGTATGCTGAGGGCCCATAATCTATATGTTTGTGGTTAGCTCCCTCCTGCCATAAGCAGAACACCCCTCGGCTTTGAAGGGTTAAAATTGATTCTTCTTATCTTTTTGTAAAACTAAAATACAATATTATTGTTCCATGTTAAAGTTGGAGACTCAAAATATACGCAGGTACTGCTTAATGTGACGAATGATGTTTAATTTTATATCGATGCATTTCATAGCTACATTTGATTTTTGACTTCCTAGGCTCTAAAGGATACATTCCATCCTGTTGCAAGAGCTCGTTACAATTTTTCGTTGAAGTTTTATTACAGCTACTTTAATATTCCACTTAGAACAAACAATGACAAACAAAAAAAACAATGAGCTGTTCAGTTTATAAAATATACATTACAAACTCTGATTTTAATGTTGACATATACAGAAAAAAACATGATCAAATACGTCACATTATACATATTAAATATTACACAAAAAAAATATTATTGATTTCAAACGGTAATACGACGATCTTTGTATGCCCAAATGAATCTAAACAGATAACACGCAAAATCGTATGTTATTCGGCAAGAAAAGAAATTCCAATTCAAGTCAATCAGACAAAAATTTAGTTTTCAAATTTCAGAAAAACCACTTAACAAATTTGTTATTCGAACTCTCTTATATCGTTCAACTATGTCCTTCACCCATGTACCTGTTTGTCTCATATGAAATCCGGTCTTCTGTACTAAACAGCTTTGTTATGCAAAAAACGTCATTTTTGAAATCGGAGTGCCAAACTCGAGTTGCGCATCTCTTACCGGTATCCCGCTCCTGCCAAAACAGCGCCAAGAATTGGTCCTATCCAAAAAACATAATGATTATCCCATTGATTTGCAAAAATTGCTGGACCCAAACTTCTTGCCGGATTCAAACTGTCACTGGTAAATGCACCGCTGTAAAGGAAATAAATGAGACTGCTATTATTTTGAGTGATGCTTGCACTTACGACGACACCATGCAGGCAACAAATGTGAAGCCGACAATTAAGGGTGCGAGGCCAGTTTTCGCTTTGAGATCGACCGCAACCATGATGAATATGGTGACAAACACAAATGTGACAATCATTTCGATTAGTAGACCCTAAAGTAACATTCGTCGATGCATCCAGAGATAGATGAAGGCGGCGATGAAGCTCCTCATACCTCCCACCAAACAACACTCTCATCAGGGTAATGGTGGGGAATACCAGCAGCGCCACTGGTATTATTGAACGGTGCATATTTAGCGAGCAATGTTGCACCACCCTGACACAGACCATAAGCACGTTGTCGAAGTATAACTTTTAAAATACCGCCCGCAGCAATGCCTAAAACAACAAGATCTCAAGTTTTGTTAACTTAAATATAAAGTAACATACCGCCCATTATTTGCATAATAAAATATAACATTGCCATTATCGGCAGAATTTCACCGGCCAAAACTGCACCGAGTGTGACTGATGGATTGAAATAAGCACCACTAAAGTTTAGAAAAGTTTTTCAAATTAACATTATTTTCTGACAGAAATTATTTTGTGCCATTTTGTTTCAAAAGTTTTTCCTAACTTTTGGAAGTATCTCTCGCCAACTGAAGACTATTAGACGACAATGTTATGCTTACCTCATGTGACCAAAGCCATACGATAATATCATTAATGGCAAACCAAATGAGAAGGCTGATGTGAGAACACCACTTCTGCTGCACACACCCATCATGCCAAGTAAAACAAAGAGAAACGTGCCAATCTAATAAACAGAAACTCTTTTATTCTCAAAAACTTTACATCCTGTAATCTGTTTTTAGCAAAAAACCAGAAAACGCGATTATTTTTAAAGTAGGGGTGGCACTTTACTCGTTACCAGTAAGGAAAAACTGAAAGTTGCCGTTTTTTCGAAAAGTCACAGCTTTTTGAAGCTGTTCCACTATCTCAGCTCCACAAGGCCCTGAAATCATCGGAACGTGTTCTTCAGAATCAGCGACAAAAGCTGCATACTGCAAAGTATATTTGAAGGTTCTTCAGCCATAAAAAGTATTCATCGCCACTTGAACATTAATTTCGGCCACTCCACTCGCAAACCTACTAATGCCCTCAGTTTATGAGATAAAATCTTCATTTTTGCGCCTTTCAAATCGTCTCCAAGCGGAGCAGAAAATTACCTACCGGATTTTTGAAATTTCTTTTACTTTTTCTAACCCAGGAGCGAAAAATCGAAATTCTGTCCACAATTCTCAATTTGCACCAAGAGAACTCAATTTCATGCAACAAAACTATCATATTCGTGAGTGACCAAAACCGAGTCGAATGATATCTGTTTCGAAAGGTTTTGTTGACTTTCATATTTGACAAAAATCTCAGTAATTTCTCGACGTGAAAAGTCGAAAAAAACAAAGGTGGTCGCAAATATTAAAAAGGCACATACATCGACTCGATTTTGAAATATTCCGAAAGCTTGAAAAAGCTGTGATTTTTCGAAAAAATGACAATGACTTTCAGTTTTTCGATTTTTTTCGCTCAATACGCGCACTAAACAGTAAAATATTCGTGACCAGCGGAAAATTCTGCGTCGTTTTTAAATTTTCTTTACAAAGCCTATGAAATCTCAATTTTTTAGTTTCGTAAATTTTTTGCTCCTTTCGTATATCAAAACATTTCCTTATAGATAGTCTGATAGAAGAAAGTGTGTTCTGTAAAATGTCTTCGTGGAGATTAGCGTTTGCAACTGGCCTGAAAAACAGAGCGTGTGTGCAATGTGTTTTTCTCACTATGCGTTTGTTCGATACCCTAGTGGAAGTACTCATACGATGAGTACTACTTTACTCATAATGCGTCCATGAGTACTCATATTGGTACTACTAACAATTTCTGAGTATTGTTACTCAGTGGGTACTCAGAAAATATTCATTCACCATTTTATTTTGCTAAACTGAAACTGTATAAAGAATGTAGAATATTTATATTATTATTTTCTCACTGGTCTCTCTTCATATAGTCAGAGATAGACTTGTCTATGACTAGACTTGTAGTCCTACTCTGGCTACCTGAGATCGCTCCTCTATCTGAAAATATCAGATGAACAATACTCATGAGTATTTTGTCGAAAGTGGTATGAGTACTCAACAATACCCAAGCATGGGTACTCAAAGTCGTACTCAGAGTACTTGTTACTCACTAATGAGTACTCAGTGAGTAAAAAAATGTATGAGTACGTATGAGTACTCGTCCGGTTTTTCTATCAGAGTACTTTTTGAGTACTCACACTTGAGTACATTCACTAGGGTAGTGCCTTCAATCCAGTGACATTACGAACCCTCATAAAAACGGTCCGATCGAGCTCAAATTTGTACCACGGATACTTCAGGCTCTGGACGCAGGAATTTTTAGCGTTTTCAATTTGAACTTTCGATATGAGGTTTTTAAAATCAAAAACCGGTTTACTGTACAGGATTTTTAGTATTTTTCTAATATCTCAAGAAGAAAAGCATATTTTTCGAAAAAAAAAAATCTTTCCTCAGATAAGGCAGATAAGGTCTAAAGTATCTGTGGTGCTACACATTTGGCAACAAGGTGAACAAAGAGGGGGGTACCCTTAACCTTGAACACCGTAAAGCTGATGGCGAAAAAGTACACAAAATTGATTCCTAGTTATGAATGTATCCATAAGGGAAATTCGTTTCTAGTCTCTCTGCTTTCGTTCTAACAAATTTCTCATCCTAGGTCTGTCACAATACCTACCAGTTCAACCAACAGTGGGCGAAAAATAGCAACAAATTTGCCTTTCTGCACATGTCCGACTTCTTTCGTTGCGTTCGAACCATTTCTAAAGCGAAAACAAAACATCAACAATCAACGTGAACATTAAACATGATGTGAGCTCGGTCGTTAAACGAGATTTTGTTATTTGTCTCGTTTATATATAAAAATGAAGTCTGATGGACCCGTCTCTTCTGTTATCACCGCCAGCCTCTTGTTGTAGCCCGAAGAGTGATATGGGTCGCATCGGTCGGCGACCCTAGATACAACCAAAGAACCAATGTTCAGAATATAAATTCACCCCTGGGAATTTACTCCTGAACGAGCCTTCTCTTGGCGATACGCATGATTATGTAGAACCACAGGATTTTTATTAAGATGAATCTGACGTAAGAATTGACCTGCTTATCTTATATGCGAAGCTTCTCATAAGCGATACAAATCCATATTTTACAATGTATCTCATCAATTAAGAAGTATCTCTTTTGAGAAATGACTATTTTGACAAGAAATTGCGTTTCTTAAAGCGATACATTGTAAAATATGGATTTGTATCCCCTATGAGAATATATATTGTATCTCTTTTGAGACGTAGCCGTGTGTATGATACGTTGGTCCTGGCGCTCCTTTTATTTTTAAAACACCGGTAAAATAGTACTTACATCTCTTGTGGATTGGATTCTGAATAGAGACCGTTGATATATTTCGAAACGCCCATGAGAGATACTTTATGAAAAAGTAAGGACGATTAACTTCAATTGAGAAATGTTCTAGTATGACTGATATGAATGACTACTTGTCTGTATATATATGGACCTTTGAAAAATGCTGTATCAGTATTATGTATATGTTGCTGTTCCAAAAGATCAACGAACAGTCAAAATATTCTCTCATGCGGCAGAATGTGAAAGAAATTTATTGTTCATTTTTATAGAAATAGGGCCGCCGCAATCATGTCACTTTAAAGAAAAAACATTCGATATGGCAATTGGTCGTAAAAATGATGTGTGAAGTGAATAAAAGTTAGGGAATTCAGACTTTCTACGAAAATATTTTGTTTGCTTACAAAGAACTTTATCAACTTTATCAGCTGTCTGTTAAAAAAAGACATTTCTCATAGCTCGGACATTTATCTGCAAAATTCAAGCGCAGTGTGATGTGGGAATCATGTTTTTCGTTTGAATCAGCAGGTTTCATCATATAATGGTCCCAATAACCAATACAGTGCAGCCATTCTGGCAATCGATACGGTGTTGGTAATGCTTTCTCTTATTAAAAAAGTTTTAAATTGTTCTCAAAAAAACAGTTTTTGTGCAGAAAAGCAAAATACGTCATTTTGTAGCGCTTGTTGAGGTCTGTTGGGATGAAATCGTTTAAAAACCAAAGTAGTTGGTTTAGTTAGGACCAAGTTTAGAAATGAAGTCTAAAATATTTTATATCCAAAATCCAAGATTAAAATCGTTGTCTCAAGATCTTTAAACATTTTACTAGTGGAAATCCTTAAGTCATTCGAAAGGTCTCGTCGCGCTGATTCACAAAAGCTTCGTCTGGGACTTGGACCAAGCCGAGAAATAAATTCGGCGGACTTTTTTTTGCCATATACGACGAAGAAATACGAGCTTTGAGAAGCTTTGTAGTGTTATTGTCAAGATGGTGGTTGACAAAGTAAATGGCTAGTTGTGTCTGGACGGGGTTCTATCCAAAAGTCTGCGTTTTATCATTGAATCAAGTCTTGGGATGAATGTAGAATATTTTGACTAAAAAGCTGTGATTTCTCTTACTAAACAACCAGTTTTTAAATTTTTCTCAAAAACCATTCTTTGTATATAAAAAGGAAACTACACCATTTTGCAGAGCTCGTCGAGTCCTATTTGAATCAAGAAAGCTTCGTCTTCGAGTGGGCTCACCGATAAATCTGACGCTAATTTTATCTCTTTTTTGGAACATTGATCTTTTTTGTAAAACGTTTCTTTTGCTTTATTTGAACTACACGGTTTTCTTTTTTACAAATGAATATAGAATGCGCGTGTGGCACAGACTACCAATTATTTTTGCCGTTTTACTTAACAATACATACTGGGTTTCTTTTATTTGCTCATTCTATATGTGTGAACTGTTTTGTTATTAAAGCAAGAAAATTCTATAACCATAAAGTAGGAGAGAATTAGGAAATATTTGATGATGACATACGTTAACTTTTATGCAGTCATCTGAAAGTATTGCAGAAGAAGAAAAAATGTTCTGTATGCACAAGTTTCAAATGAAGATGGAACAAACCAACAAGATGGAAGGTTGAAACAGCTTCTGAAACAGCCTGAAAACCCAAATTTTCGTAAAACTCTCTTTTCGGTAGACTTTTAGAACTTTTTCTAAAAACAAATATTGCCACAAGGCTCAGCATGATATATTAGCTATAGTCCATCCGTTTTCAAGGCTACCAATACTCACCGTGGGCCAGTCTTGGGACTCGAGAAGAAGAAAGTAGAAATCCGACACAACACCCGAGCCGCGGAAAACCAAGGTCTCACTTGGCTTTTGAAAAGGATACCTTGGGCTATCATAGCATGGAAGAAAATCAATATAATCCTATTGAAAATTTTTACACACGGCTTGGTTTTCCAAAGATCACCTCGCTGTTTCTCTTTGGTTTTCAGTAAAAGCTGTTTTTCTCAGCAAGGAAAAGGAATTTTAAAAAAAACTCTCCGTACTTTTGAAGCTAGTCTCTTGGTCCATTTAATGGTATATGAATTAAAGGTATAGCCTTCCATTGAAAAAACTAGATGGGCTTACAAAATGAATGATGCTCCATTTGACATCCGCCAGTTTCGATATCCATGGCGGATGAGTGTTTACCCTTAAAATGAACTAAAGACCTTTTTCTAAATCAGTTTTCAACGCTGATTCAGAAAAAAATAGTTTCAATCTTCCATCTTGTAATAAAACTTGCTTAAAGGCAATGCA